CTGTCCCTCTAATGCTGCCCAGAAATGGTTGGTCCCACCCAACTCGAATCCACCACCCAGAAGTGACTTATGTTGACATTTAAACCTTCTCTGCCAACACTTCAGCACATAGTGTTCAGATTACCAAATACACAGTCCTTGGGGAGGTATGTGATCTCATCCTTAGAAAGAAAAGAGATGAATGGAAATAATTTGCTAAGGCCAGCCTGACCAACTATCACATAATGCTATTTGAACTGTACCATCATGACTGTGCCAGCACCTGATGAATGATGAACACCTCCATCTCCTTCTGGGTGTGAAAAGGTACATAATATATTGATTTACTGCTGGATCTAGTCTCCCATTAGCCCCTGTCCTGGTAGTCTTTGACTCCTCACATATGCCACAAAGATTAGTTCTAATACCTAAAAAAAAAAAAAGTACTACCATCCTTGAACTATACTTAGGAATTCAATTCATGCTTCAAATATGCTTTTAATTGTGGCTCAAGCCTTCAATCATGAAAACCTGAAGATTCCCTGCCCCAAGTGAAAGGATAAAGGTGGCTGGAGGGGTGAAGATTGATATATACTGGATAGTCCAACATAGCATCTTTAAAGAGCAATTTTTACCTAGGAATATGTTCTGGGCTCTGCACTGTGCATAAAAGGGCCATCTAACTATAGGTCCAGAGCCAACGGGCTTGGTTTCCTGAACTATGTCTCTGTGCGCAGCTCTGGATCAGTGATGGGGGAGAGTAGAAAAGAGGTACTATGGTTGGCTAGGCTACGTAAGGTCTCCACCTCTAAACTGAGTTCTGGGGACAAATAAAGCAGTGAAAACTCTTTTGGTATAAAACATATGATTGAAAGGAGAAAATACAATGTGGAGAAGGAAGGGAGTTCTGTTCTAGAAGAAGGCAGAGGGAATGCTGATCAAACCAAAACAAAATGTCCTCTACAAAGGAGATGTTAAAGTCCAGGGTTTGGCCATGGTATCTGGGTTGCTGAAAAGGAGTGGAAGATGGGGGGTTAATGGAATTAAGCAGTCCAAGGAATTGTGAGGCTATAGTATTTGTTGAATTTATAATCAAGTTCCCCAAAACATTGGTAGGAAAGTAGAGAAGAAAAGGGTTAGAGGTCAGAGCAGTAATACACTCATTTGGTTTAAAATTTAATCCTGAACTGATAATTGATCATTTTCAGTAACTCCGATCAGTTCTCACATTCCTGCAAATTAAGGGGAAAAAATCATCAAGTCAAATTCTCTCAATTATATTGGTCATGATCTAGGTCACTAGATCTGTTAAAAGAATCATTCAAACAAAAATGGAAGCAGCTAATTTAAATCTCCGCAAAGCAAAACTGCAAGATATTTTAGAGCTCATACCTTCCTGAAACACAGCTACTTCTCTTTATTTAGAATTTTAAAAATATATTGAGAATAATTAGATCTCTTAATATATCTCCAGTCTCTCAAAATAATTCTAGTGATAAAACAAATATATCCCTGAGAAGTGATATGTCCCCACTATATATATTTGACCAACACCTGTTAAAACATAATTGGGTGGTATTTCTCAGGCAGGTATTATTCTTCTTCAAAAATTAATTACATCATGAACGGTTTCCAGGTCCCTTCCTAGAATTAAGCAGTTCCCCCAAATACAAATTTGCTCCAGAAGAAAATCAATAAAAGGCAAACATATACAAGAGACTAATTTAAGTCATTTTATAGAAAACTAAACCCTTATGAAATAAACTGCTCAGTATGAAGAGCTTTTGAAGGAATAATCAGGGGGAGATGGAGGTAATTCAAAATTCTGCTACATGGACACTTGCTCCAAGAATTCCAAGTTTAGGCTACCATAGTAATGTAGATCAGTTACATAATTTGTTAAATACATTTATAGATGTAAAATGAATCCAACCCTTTTTAGTATAGTTTTAATGGAAATGTATTCTAAGTTCTAAAAGAAGTTAGCTTACAAATAACTTTTTAGAACACAAATTATTTTTGCATTAAAGATGACCAGAATTAGATGGGATTCAAAACTTTAGAAATTCATACCCCCAAAAAAGTAATTCAAAATAGCAGTTAAAATTATGGGCAATATCGGATAAAAAGCCAAAATGTGGAAAACACAGACAATAAATATTTCAGAAGTTTTTAAAAGAAGTTGATCAACATGGGCTACAAAGTCCCTAAAATGAGGATTTAGATGGAAAAAGTGAGGTGCAAGAAGCTATATATTGGTCATAGACTTGAATCAGAAATGATTATTTAATGGTAGTCATAGAGCTAAAACAAAATATTTGAGCAATAAATAAAAGACAAGGTAGGAAAGCTATGGAAGGACTGGATAAAGAAAGCTTAACATGCTAGGCTCAGAAGTCTAAAAACTGGAAGCTATTCTAAGTTATTAAAGAAATGACATGATGAAAATAGGGTCTTAGGAATATTAATCAAGTGGTAGTCTCTATGACAGAGGATGTTTTCTGTGACTTTCAGGTGTGCATTTGCAATTCTAACTTTTGAGACTTAAAAATTTTTAATATACCTGTACTTCCTTTGTGACTAGACTATATCTTGCTGCTATTCCCAACCTGACTAGATTCTTTGTCTTGTAGCCTAATTTTACAATTCATTCATTTATTTAAAAACTACCTATCAAGCATCTCTTATGTGTCAGGTATTGTGCCAGGGATAGCATACTAAGAATTACAAACCCAGAACCTGTCCTCATGAATCTGAGAATCTAATAAGGAACTCAGAATATGGTCTATCTTGATGAATGTTACATGGGAGCTTGAGAGAATCTGTGTTTTGGTGTTGTTGGATGGAATATTCAATAAATGTCAATTAGATCAAGTTGACTGGTAGCACTGTTCAGGTCAACTGCCTGCTTGATTTATCAATCACTGACAGTGGGATGTTGAAGTCTCCAACTTTCATAACAAATTTGTCTATTTTCCTTCCAGTAATCAAAATTACCACTTAGGTACACCTACCAGTTTACAGTTCTAGCAGCACTCATTTTAGGTAAGCAGATCTCAGTTGTGACTATCCACTTTTGCCTGTTTATCCGGATTTCAGGGTAGGAGTTTGCCCTGAAAATTCAGTTTTCTAATGGACCCAAGAAAAGTCATTGATTTTCAATTTGTTCACTGTTTTCTTGTTGTAATGACAATATTGACAACTTTCAAGCTCTATACATATTCTAGCTGAAACAAAGAGTCACGAACTTTGATCCCCTTTTCTAACTGAAATGAAAAGAATGTATTCTCCAAATCAATAGCTGCATACTCCTGTACCTGAAACTTTATTAATCTTCTCTGAAAGTGATATCACATCAGGCAAAGTAGCTGTGACTGAGGCTACTAATTGTTTACATCTGCAGAAGCCTACAGTTTTTCCCCAAGAGGCATCAAGTTTCTGTAGCCATTAGGCTGGCAAATTAAAGAGAGCTATGATAGGCACCAATATATTTGCATTAATTAGGTCTTTAATTATAGAACTAATCCCTACTATCTTCCCTGAGATAAGACATATTTTTGATTTACAATTTTGGTCTGGTGAAGGGAGCAGTTTCAGAAGTTGTTATTTTGTCTTTTCCCTACCATGATAGCTTTTACTTCAAAGATCAAGGACCCTAAGGAGGTTACTTTCAACTGTCAAGTATATCTATTTCAATTATGTACTTGGTGATGGAGATAATTATCACTGCAGGGGTAGGGGAGTCTGTGGGCACATTGAGCCCACTGTGATTTGGACTTTGGTCATAGATTTCCACTCTGAGAATCAATGTCAACTCAGACTCTGTGTTCAGTCATCCTTAAGAGATCTAGTTATTTCAGTTTCCTCAGTGTACAGTCACCTGTGTAAGTGGCCAGAGGTCCCTTTTCGGAGGACTGTGGATACTGTCATAACATAAACTTTGATTAGTATCGCAGGGCCTTTCTTAGGAATTCTTAGGATTCTTAGGAATCTAGCCATTTCTTTGGTTAATAGTTTCTGATTCTAGAAATTGGTTCAGGTCTGGAAAATGAGTAAAGAATTATGCTTTTTGTTGGACTGACTGTCCTCAGCCTCCTGCTGCTCAGTTCTTGCTTTTCTTTCTTTAATTAGAGATGCTGAACAGCACCATTCTTAATTGGCTTGGCAGCCAGGGGAGGAGGTGGGTGCAGCTCCTGAGAGGGAAAGCAGCTGTTTTATTGGGAAGAGGCCTCTGCAGCATCTTCCAGCACAGTGGGTACTCTTCTAGCCCTTACTAGGAAAGTGTGGGTCACCTCTGCATGCCTAGAGGGTCCAGGTAGACTTGTAGAATTCAGATCCTCAGGGGCATCTATCCAGATGTCCCATCAGAGTTTTCAGGATCCCTGGTCATCCCTATCACGGTCCTGCCCTTCACATAACAGATCTACCTGAACTGAGCATTCAGATGCCTCTGGAGCTCTGCAGCTCTCACAATTAGGTCTTCAGCCTGTTGTTTTACCCTGTTCACACTTTCACCACTGGTATAGAGTGCCTCTTGTGAGGTTACCACTAAGGCTTTCTGGTTTCAAAACTTAGCAGCAAATGCCTGCATCATGGCTTCTTCCACAGTATTCCACTCCAACAGGACATTTTCCAAGGTCATCATCAGTGGAATCTGGGCCAGGATCTATTGCTGTTACATCTACCATTCAGAACAGATCCTCTTTCTGCTACACAGTGAGTGACCCAGTTACAAATCCCAACTTTACCCCCTGTTTTCTCATGTCACTATCTGGACTCCTAGTTTTAGATGTGGTCTTCTGAGAAGCAGGCACTAAGATGGGATTACATGTGCAAGAATCATGTTATCAGACATGCCCATGTAAAAGAAAATAGAGAGGGAGCAGAAGGAGGCCACCAGTGCAGTCTGACAGTAATGCAAGTCTGAGCCCTAGTAAAGGAGGGAAAGAGAAGGTTGGCTGAAAGCAGAAGCATCCTAGGATGTAATGCAGTCTAGAAAAAGTATGGCAAAGCCATCAAGGGTGCTCACTTCTGCAGCACATATACTAAAATTAGAATGATACAGGGAATAGCATAGCCCCTATGCAAGAATGACACACAAATTCATGAAGAATTTCATATTTTTACAAGCCAGAAAAGATTAGAGTCCTATCTCCAACCTCCTTTAACAGAACAACTCTCAGCCAATAATTCTGTAGCCAGCAAAACTAAGTTTCATAAATGAAGGAGAAATAAAGTCATTTTCAGACAAATGCTGAGGGAATTTCTCATGACCAAACCAGCCCTATAAGAAATGTTAAAAGGAGTTCTAGACCTTGAAACAGAAGCCCAAAATGCACCAAAATAGAACCTCTTGCAATCTTAAAACTCACAGGACCTATAAAACAATAACACAATGAAAAAAAAAAAAAAACTAGGTAACAATTAATATGATGAAGAGAACAGTGCCTCATATCTTAATATTAAGATTGAATGTAAATGGTCTAAATGTTTGCTTAAAAAATACAGAATGAATTAAAAAATCACAAACCAAATATCTGCTGTCTTCAAGAGACTCACCTAACATGGAAGGATTCATATAAACTCAAGGTAAAAGAATGCAAAAAGATAGTCCATGCAAATAGAAACCAAAAGTGAGCAGCAGTAGCTATTCTCATATCAGACAAAACAGACTTCAGAACAATAACACATTAAAAAAAGACAAAGATTGTCACTATATAATGATAAAAGGATTGATCCAACAAGAATATATTACAATCCTAAATTTATATACACCTAACACTGGAGCTACCAGATTTATAAAACATTTTAAAATGTTTAAATTTTAAAAATTACTGCTAGATCTAAGAAATGAGACAGCAATACAATAGTGGTGGAAGACTTCAATATACCACCGACAGCATTAGACAGATCTTTGAGACAGGAAGTCAACAAAGAAACAATGAACTTAAATGACACTCCAGAACAAATGGACTTAACAGGTATTTACAGAAAATTCTTTCCAACAACTGCAGAAGATACATTCTTATCAGTACATGGAACATTCTCCAAGACAGACCATATGATAGGCCACAAAACAAATCTCAATATTTTTTTAAACTGAAATCACATCAAGTATCTTTTCAGACAACAAAGGAATAATACTAGAAATCAACTCCAAAAGAAACCCTCAGAATTATACAAATACATGCAAATTAAATAATCTGCTTCTGAATGATATCTGGGTTAACAATGAAATAAAGATGAAAATTTAGAAATTCTTTGAATTGAATGATAATAATGACACAAGCTATCAAAACCTTTAGCATACAGCAAAAGTACTGCTAAGAGGAAAGTTTATAGCACTAAATGTCTATATCAAAAAGGGTGAAAGAGCACAACTTGACAACCTAATGTCATACTTCAAGGAGCTAGGGAAGCAACGATAAACTAAACCCAAAGCTACAAAAAGAAATAATATCAGAGCAGAACTAAATGAAATTCAAACAAAAAGATACAAAAGATCAATGGTACAAAATCTGGCTCTTTGAAAAAATAACCGAAATAGAACATTAGTTAGATTAACCAAGAAAAGAAGAAAGAAGATCCAAATAAGCTCAATTAGAAATGATACTAGAAACGTTACAAACAATACCACAGAAATAACACAAGATCATTCAAACTGGGCACGGTGGCTCACACTTGTAATCCCAGCACTTTGGGAGGCAGAGGCACGCAGATCATTTGAGGTCAGGAGTTTGAGACCAGCCTGGACAATATGGTGAAACCCCAACTCTACTAAAAATACAAAAATTAGCCAGGTGTGGTGGTAGGCACCTATAATCCCAGCTACTTGGGAGGTTGAGGCATGAGAATCACTTCAACCAGGAGGTGGAGGTTGCAGTGAGCTGAGATTATGTCACTGCACTCCAACCAGGGTGACAGAACAAGACTCCAACTCAAAAAAAAAAAAAAAAAAAAAAAAACAGTCATTTGAGACTGCTATGAATAACTTTATGAGCACAAACTAGAAAACCTAGAGGAAATGAGTAAGTTCTTGGAAACATATAAGCCTCCTAGGTTACATCAGGAAGAAATAGAAACCCTGAACAGATCAATAACAAGCAATGAGAATTAATCAATAATTTAAAAGTTGCCAAAAGCAACAACAACAACAAAAAAACCAGCCAGGACCAGATGTATTCACAGTTGAATTCTATCAGACACTCAAAGAAGAACTGGTATCAATCCTACTGAAACCATTTCAAAAGACTGAGAAAGAGGGAATCCTCCCTAGATCATTTTATGAAGCCAGTATCACCCTGATACTAACACCTGGAAAGGATACAACAGAAAAAGAAAACTACGGACCAATTTCCCTGATGAACACAGATGCAAAAATCCTCAACAAATACTAACTGAATCTAACAGCACATCAAAAAGATAATGTATCTTGATCAAGTGGGTTTCATTCCAGGGATGTAGGGATGATTTAACATATGCAAGTTAATAATGTGATATATCACATAAACAGAATTAAAAACAAAAACCATATGATAATCTCAATAGATGCAGGAAAAGCACTGGACAAAATCCAGCATCACTTTGTGATAAAAACACTAAACAAACTAGACATTGAAGGGACTTACCTCAAATAAAAACCATACATGACAAACCCACAGCTAATGTCATACTGAATGAAGAAAAGTTGGAAGCATTCCCCCTGAGAACAGGAACAAGACAAGGATGCCTTCTTGCACCACTCCTATTAAGTATAATTCTGGAAGTCCTAGCCAGAGTGTTCAGGCAAGAGAAAGTAATAAAGGGCATCCAAATTGGAAAAGAGGAATCCAAACTATTGCTATTTTCAGATGACACGATCATATATCCAGAAAATCCTAAAGACTCCTCCCAAAAGACTTCTAGATTTGATAAACAAATTGAGTAAAGTCTCAGGTCACAAAATCAATATACACAAATCAGTAGCACTGTTACACAACAACAATGACCAAGCTGAGAATCAAATCAAGAACTCAATCTCTTTTACAATAGCTGCAAAATCAAAACAAAACAAAACAAACAACTAGGAATATACTTAACCTAGCAAGTGAGAGATCTCTACAAGAACTACAAAACACTGCTGAAAGAAATCACCGATGACACAAAAAAATGGAAACACATCCCATGCTCATGAATTGGAAGAATCATTGTTGTGAAAAGGACCATACTGTCCAAAGCAGTTTATAGATTCAGTACAATTCCCATCAAAATATCAACATCATTTTTCACAGAATTAGAAAAAAAAAATCCTAAAATTCATATGAAACTAAAAAAGAGCCCAAATAGCCAAAGCAATCCTAAGCAAAAAGCGTAACTCTGGAGAAATCATATTACTGAACTTCAAATTATACGACAAGGGTATAGTTACCCAAACAGCATGGTACTTGTATAAGTACAGAGCTATTGCAGTTTAATTTCTCCAGAAGTTACACTCCTAACTTAAGGAGAGTATACTGGATGCATGGGACGGCAGAAGGGTCCCAGTGACCAAATGTTCCATGTGTTCATGTTCAACTATCTCCCTGTTTCCAGCTCCTTTCTCACCCCTATTTTCTGTACATGCCAAGTTGTAAAGCACTAAGCAGGTCAGAAGAGCGAATGCATTATTTTCACCGATACTCTTCTCGGCGGGCACTGCTGTTGCTTCCTCAACTTCTGTCAAGTCCATTTCTCTTCTTCCAGCTATGAACCTTCCAAAATTTGTTTAAATCATTCACCTGCTGAGATTTCCTTTCCTTTTCTTCTTCTCCATTCATTTCAATCATCAGCTATCATTTCTTATCTAATAAATATCATATCCAAATGTAAACACAGGCCCCTGGGTACCTATTCTTAACATTTCCTTCACATTTCGAACTCAACTTTACCAAAAATTGATTTTAAACTTTACCAAAAATTATTATTTTACTTACACCAATTATCCACCAATAAATTCAATTTCTAATGGCACTAAGCACAGCTTTCCAATTTTACATGTGTTATTTGGATTTTGTCAAGTAGGAGTACTTTAGGAATTTTATACATGAGAAGAATATGGGTTTGTGAGGCAGGAGCATGTAAAAGAGAACACACCAAGTGATGAGCTATAATGGGCATTAAAAAAATTTCCTACCTGAGGCCTCACACACATACTGCCTTACTTACTAGTTTCACAACCAAAAAATATTTTGAGTAAAATGTGGAAAAATGTTTTGACTGAAACGGGGAACATTCCAATTAGGTGCATTTTTTAAAGCACAATACTACTGCTTTTTCAAGAATATTTCTACTATTCTGCTAGATTTAAAAATAATAAAATAATTTTAAACTCAAAAACTGTGAATTCTAAAATAGATAACACTTGAGATTGTTAACAACCAACCCTGGCATTTGAGTTAGAAATTTCGTCAACGTTTTTATTTAAAATTTTTTTGCAATGTACTACTTTCTAAAGCCTTATAGGCACCATGTGGCTAATGTATTAAGAAGCAGCTTCATAGCAGTTGTGGACCTCGTGCCTTGTCCTTCTTTCTTTCTTCACTATTATCTTTAAGCTTTAACACCTTGGTTTCTTCTTCCAGCCTCTATCACATGACTTTGTCTCCCAGCTCTGTCTTGTTCATTCTCTCCAGGCTCAACATAAAGACACAAAGTATTTTCTCTTCTGCAGTTAGCCTCAGCACTGCCACAACACGGTTATAGCTGGTGTAGCCCAGAATTCCTGGAACCCACTTTACTCTCCTTCTCTGTTCCTGCTTTCTATGAGTTGTGTTTTAAACATACTATGCTTTGAAATTATACTATAACTCAGGAAGTTAGGATGTTTCATTGTACCAATATCATGGGGATAAGGCTAGCATAAAAATAAATTATCCTGGGGAGAAGACAAAAACACATTATAGATTTTGAAAAAACTACAGCAATCATGAAATAACCTGGACCATTAACAAGAATGTATTTGTAATTATCCATATATAAATATACATACCAGAAATCCCTGAAAAATATAAAATTGTACTATAATAACTTTAAGGTTCCTTCTTATTTTACTGACTTCAAAATGAACTAGATATCTTAGAAACAGTTTTATCAGAGGAACACACTCTC